CCCGTTATTCACGAACCTTTCCTAAGGCTACGATCAAATGTCCTGCGTGCTTCGTGGGTTTCTTAAAAAGTATAGGGGAAAAAAGACTAGTTACTGCAAGAGCACGAAAAAATAAGTAAAATCCCAAATAAGCAAATTTCAGGACCCACGACGCATAGCCGTTGTGCGATCTACGTATTATGTCATATGTCTGCACGATCGTACGATGGAAAGTTCTTTTTTTCTTCAGTTTCGTAACCATCGCGCATAATCGTACCGGTTTGACGTAATCGTAGCGGCAGTCAATGCAGCGGTCATCGGTCATTGCACTTCGTTAGTAGGCGCAATTTCGCAGCGCGACGGATTAATTTCGAAAAATCGAGATCAATAACGATTCCAATTGGCCAGGAGCGTCAGGACGTAAGCTCGAGGAACGAGTCGATTTACAGAGTAATTTTTGCTCCGGCTGGCATGAAGGTTCTGCCAGCGCTCGCGGAAGATCGTTAAGGATCGTTGGGACCCATCGACATATCGGACAGATCGGATAGATCGGATAGATCGACACGCTTATAGGCCCCTGCGTGCCTTATTTTCAAAATGGCCGATACTTACCGAACGTCACTGAGTTTCGGGTAGGCGCATATTCGCAGCGTCTTTGAATTTGATCCGACTGCGTAAAACTTTCCATGGGGATGAAATTCGGCGCAACGAACAGCCTGAACATCCTCGAGCGCAGTAACCGGAACGAATCTGGGTCGACCGCCGTTGCTACTTCCGTTACTCGCGTCTAGTTCCGATCTTGGCTCCTGCTGTAGGGAAAATCAAGATCCAGAGTCATTATTTAAAGATACACAAAATGGTGCTCTCTGAGTCACGCTACAATTGTTAAAGCCTATAGGGACGCCTTCGAAGAATTGCGCAAAAGCACAAAGTCTCTCGTAAAAGCAAGTTCACTTGATGCTAGATCATCGGGCTGCAAGAGTGCAGATACAATCTGACAATGAAAGCCAGCGAGTCAGGACCAAATGAGGGTTAATCGTTGCGAGAGCTTTGACAGGTGCGCTGCCATCGCTGCTCCCGGCAACACGAGCCAGTGACCTTCCGTCGAGCACCTGGGCTAATTAAAAAAGTTCGGAAGGTGATCGTCAGACGTAACGGATGACGAAACTTTGAATAAAGTAGAAAGTCCGAGGAGGACGAACTCGAAAGGAAACGAAGCGAATGGAGCCCAGTCGGTTGTCCTGCAGGCAGAGCTCCGAAGAGTGCGCGGGACGTGCGCGGGACGTGCGCCGGACGTGCGCCTCACGTGCGCGATCCTCCAGCGGATTCGGTAAATCCGCAATGATCTTCGCTTCGCATCGGTGCTTACTCGAGGATTCAGACTAACCGAAAGGCTGAAGATACGACACGGCGGGACTACGGTCTATTCCTTTGAATCGTTTTAAAGTCCCTCGCTCGACTTGCGCAACGTCGCTCGGGAACGCTTTTCATTTTTTGGACCTTTTTACTATTCGAGGACTCCGATTACTCGGAATTATCTCCGAGAACGATTATCGCATTTCTGGCAAAGCAAACGGACTGCTGGCTACGCGTTCCTCGCTGTCTTTGAAGTTCCTGACGTTCCTGACGTTCCTGACGTTCCTAATATATTTTAAGCTTCCAAAGATTTCATTGAGAATTGCTTGCGCTCGTCTTAGAAGCTGCGGCTGCGATTCGAGTTTCTCGAGGAAGGGACGCGTCGTCATCTCACACCCGACACCCTTCCTCCGATGGACCCTTGGACAGCCTCCTCCACGAATGAGATGAGATTGACTTGGCCCCATAACTTCACTGTCTCTTCGTTCCCGCGAAGTCCTGTGCAGCATTCGCATTTTTTCTTTTCTTCTTCTAAGCGTCTGCGTCTTCCCGTTTTTCTGTGTGCTCGTCGTCGCGCGAACGACGGTAGCGAATGCCTTGACTTTCACTCAATTTCTAAAACACTGCACGGGTACGCTTATTCGGCACGAGGAACTGTCTCGTAACCTGTCAAATGTCGCCGCTACGATGAGGATAAGGTTACATCGTCACAGTTGATGTGCATGTATTATAGATATCTTAGGATCAATTAGAATTGCAAGACGATGCGCCATAAATACGCGATCATTAAGTAAAACGAGAGGATCGCGAATTGAATAATCGAAACAATCGGACACTCGAGAATCACAACGAATCACAACGAATCACAACGAAATGCTCGTTCGTTTTCCTGCTAGCGACTTTATGAGAAAGAAGTAACCGAATTAACAGATTCCCCCTCGCAACTCCAGCAACCGCTCGGTGCGCCGTTTGACACGCACGTTTCCGTTCTCGAAGATTCTGGGTCAGCCGAGCGTCCATCCGTCGCGGCGGCGATTCGACCTTCGAGTTTTATCCCGATTTCTCCTAGGTACGCATCGGGTCCTCGTGAACGTCTCGCGGCTCTGCAGAGTTCGTTGGCTTCTTATTTTCGATAGAGCGCACCTATCCTGCCTGAAACTGGGTTAAGAGAGAAACTTTAACGAAAACGAATAATTTACATATTATTGATTCGAAAATGTGACAATTGAGAGCGTAACGTCAATGACTCAATTGCGTCGAAAATATCCATTCGATGCTTCGTGATGCTTCGTGATGGTTCGTGATGCTTCGTACTCGCAGGCATCTCGAAATCCTTTATTGTTTTCAGAAAGAGAAAGCGTCTTAATGCGATTCGATGCATTTTCTTTCGCATCGCATGGGGAAACTCAGATTGGCCGATACTCCCAAGTGAGTTTCTCACGGTTCGCAGAGATCGAATATTCCGCTATTAAATGTCGCCCGTGGCGGTGGGAGCGTGCTTCTGGCGCATAGGAACGAAAATGCTCTATTAAATTAATTAATGATCTTTAAAAGATTTCCATTGCGAAAGGCTCCCGCAGCCGCTTCAGTACGAGGGTTGTCAGATAACGTCTCTCTCTCTAGGAGGATCAGAACCGAATAAAATGACGAGTGTCGCCTCAGAAGGATAGAAAGGGGAGATGATGATGTCGGATCGACACACAACACGCACGCACGAACGCACGCACGCACGCAACGAATGAAGCCAAAGACAGTGACGCTATGGTCATCAATTAGCAGCAACAGGCCAGAGAAGGACAAAGAAGGAACGGAGTTCAGCTGCTTTAACTGCGACAAGAGATTCGAGCCGTCATCTATCTGTTGAGAGAGAGAGAGAGAGAGAGAGAGAGAGAGAGAATGATCCTCCGTACGAAATTCACGCTACGACATTAATATGAAAGGACTGGCAAATAATGATATAACGATTAAATGAGAGTAAGAGGTGTAACGTTACGTAACGTGGGGTGACCTTTTGAGAGAGGCTGCATCTTTTTTTCAATCCTACGAGAGCAGCCATCTTTCCGGCCTTTCCACTCGAGGGTTCTCGCAGTTTTAGCTACGAGAAAGAAAGCAAAGGAGACTTTCGAAAGGCATGCGCGACACGTCGTCGGGCCGGAGGCCGACTAAGAAGCCAATCTGACGTCCTAACGCACCGAATGTGCTGCCAACATTCCGGCAGGTTGTCATTCTCTGTTAGCCAAGACGAATCTTCAGAGAAAAATAATAACGAGTAAAAAAAATAATAACGCCGAGAGTTCAAAGACGAAAATCCGGATACGATCTGGTGAAACCAACCGGATTGTATCTAGGTTGCGGCACACTTTTTTTAAGTACTCGCCGTGAACGTCATTAGGTCTATTTGGTAGCCGATTCAACTCGCGAGAACTTCCCCAGTGGATTCAATTTCCTCCTGATTCGAGAAATCTCGAATTTCTACTTTTTGCTCTCTAAAGCTGATTTTTGTTAACCGGACATTTTCAGGCTGCCCATGTTTCTCGGGAAACTCAAAGCACCCAAGAGGACACTTGGTATCCAGAACGCTCAGGATTCGGCAATAACAGAGCGCGAGAAGTCGCATCGGCTTCTTGCCTGCAGCCTCCGAAAAGAAAACAAAGCGACAAGATCGCGATGGCACGGCCTAGTAGACGCAATAATCTTCGAATCTCTCTCTCTCTCTCTCTCTCTCTCTCTCTCTCTCTCTCTCTCGGCAGGGTATTTTCTGTTATTCTCGGATGATTATGCGATTTTCTCCACACAAAGTCACTCTCACCGATCGACCGATCGACCGATCGACCGATCGACCGATCGACGATCCGTAGCAAAGATATATCTAACTAGCAGGATGGCGATCCATCGTGTTCTAGATCGGACGCACGTCCTCTTTACGGGAACGTTAATCGGTACGAATGTTTAGGGATGTTCGAAGAAAGTGGTAAGGAACATTTGTGAGGTACCAACAGGAACGAAACATTCTTCTCCGTGAAAACCGTCCTACTAAGTAAATCGAGGCAATTTTCTTTCTAGTTCTCAGAATTTATCGTATTATCGGAATATCAGAAAATAAATATATATGTACATACAATGGCGGTACCTCTTGTTACGGTCGGAACAAGGCAGAAACTTTAAGGCAGTCTCTGTCCAATGGCGTAACAGTTCCGAAAAACAATTTCCTGGTTAACGATCGGTAATCGACTTCCTGTCCTTCCCTTTCCTTTTCTTTCTCTTCCCTCTCTCGGCGCACCAGAAGAAATCCGGACAAACGAAAGGATCTCATGGCCCTTGCCAGCACAGAGAGTAAAAGTCTTTCCCATTGACTTATACATATACATATAAGAGAATCCCTCGTCGAAATCGAGTAAAATTCCATCCCATCTACGGATCATGCTGCGTTTCGCAGAACTACTTTCTAGCGGAGATACGAGTTGGCGAAAGGAGCATTTCAGATTCCAATCGACGTAGCTACGAGCAAAGACCTATTAAAACGAATGAACAGCCGTAGACCGTGAACGGATGCTCGTTGCGATCGAAAAGGCGTCGTCGGAGTGCTTTTCTTTTATTATATTTCGAATCTAGCAAAAGGCGAAAAAAGGTCGACTCGAAACCGATTAAAAAGAGAAGAAGGACGGTTGAAGCGATGAGGGCGGGGAGGCCAGGGTAGCGGTCACGAAAGGCAGCAGCACCTCCACCACCACCACCACCACCACCACCACCGTGGGTCGTCAATTGCTGACTGTCGATTATGAGATTGAATGAAATAGCGCCGCCATTCTTTTATTCTACGGGACAACGAACCATATAGCTTCCACGACGTCGTCCGAGTCTCGCGTTCCTTTTCCCCTCAAACTTCTGCACCAAGTCGGACTTTCCGCATCTCTCGAAATTCACGTCTCTCGTCCCTTCGACCTCGAGTAAATTCTCCATCGACCTCCTGCTCTGCATTCGACCCTTGTGACCCGTGGTTACGTGGTTCCCGTTCTCATCATTGTAATCCTCCCACTCGCTGATCTCGCTCCTAACATCCTCCAAGGATCTCGTCCTGCCAACGGAGCAGGTGCACGGCGGGAGGCTACTTCTACCATGGCCCCCAGAACTCTTGGCAGCCCTTGTTCTCGCACCTTCCGTCAGCATCATCCTCGGCGAGAGTCCCATCGCTGGGACTTGGAGAGGCTGACCGGCCGGTGGCGGAGGCATCGCGTTCCTATAGAGCGGCGTCAAATAGTAATAGTCGCGTCCCTTGTTTCCAGGCATTCTCGTCGGCAAGTAGTTGTAGTCGTGACTGGATAGATGGGGCGGAAGCCACTGAGATATCGGCTCGACCGGAAGCATCGGTCGGTAGCAGAAGGAGGGTCCTCTCGAGGGGCTATTGCGATACATTGGAGGCCAAGGCCGGTGCTTCCCGTCGTTCCCAAGACGC